AGGAGTGAGCGAGTGGCTGTGTGGTGCTCAGTTGCTGGCTGAGGTTAAACCACGACACCCTGCTGCTGGGATTTCTATAGATGTAATTACAAACTTTGGTACACAGTAGACCAATCTGTATGTTAGTAGATGTAGACCCATCCTATCTGGAACATTTGCTCATGCATAATGATTATTCTGACGTATCTGGACCGTGACAGAAGTATGTAAGCAAGGGAGAGAAAGTGGGGAAAATTCCAAAAGTTTGTTTTGTGCAGTGTTGAAAATTGGGGATTTCACAAGAATGAGTAAAATACATCCAGCCAAAGAAGTATCAGCATTTTTGGAGCTGTCACCAGTCTGTGGTTTGTTCAATTGTCTTATTAGTTTCCCTACCTTTTTTTTTCCCCACCTGTGAAAAATCTGGTAACTGTAATATGTCAAAGCTACACTTGCGATGTCATTTCTTTGAAGTCTTGCCTAGCTAGCTGCCGGGATAGATTTTGTTGTAACATTGGTTTTGCCACACTTTGTGTTTTGAACATCAATGTTGGGGTCGTTCATGCCTGAGACAGTGGAGATCTGATTGGCTTTGCCGAGGTTCTTAATGATGTTGATGTTGTATTTGGCAGCTTCCACAAAGCTGTTTTCTAGTAGCCAACCATCTGATTCACCCTCCAAATCTCCTAGCAGAAGGACATTCTTCATCGCTGTTTGTAGGTACCGGACACCAATAAGTACAGAGAGCTGTAAGAAACAGTTAATGGTTAAACAGGGAGTTTAAATTACAGCCTCAATCCTACCACTAAGTCAGCTTTCAGACTTGTACATTTTCAGGCCCAATAATTAATAGTGAGTAAAGCAGACAAATTCTTTATCCCAGCAATATATCTAACCACTCTCCCAATTAATTACATTTTTTAGAAAGAAAAATACCAGGGAGAGATTGATTGATTCTCTCTCCATTCTTCAGGTAGCATTCCCACTTGCATGTTATTAGCACATAAGTACCTAGAATTACTTGGGACACTGCAGTCTCAGAGACTACAACTAATTGATGTAGAATGGATGATCAATTAATGGAACCATCAGTCACTGGGAAAAAAAAAAAATTAAATTGTAGTCTGTTAATTTCTGTGGATTTTTTTTCCACTGACCTTGATTAAATCGGTATTTCCTCCAAGGAGTTTAATCATTCATATGTAAGCCATGTGTGTCCTACATGCCAATGCATTAAAATTAAGAAGATGGCCTATCGTTAGAGGCTCAACTATAAGTTTAGGAAAAAAGCCCCATTTTCATAGTTCTGTTGGGATCGAGATCAGCGTGCCCAGCTTGCCAGCATTTAAGGGAGCACGGAGAGCTGGCTCACAGCTTTTTCATGTGCTGCCAAAGGCCCGTCATTTCTGGCACCACCACCCCATCTAGCACTGCTTGAGGACTGTTGTGAACTATTTTCATTATAGTGCTAATATTTATGCAATAGAGCAATAATCAGAAAACTAAAACTTATTAAAGAGGGAAGAAGACCGTATTTTAGCCTATGCCATTGGGGGGTCCTTCACCTGTGGATGACAACATCCAGACAACTTTCTTTACAGACACCAGCAGAAAGACTGCATCTTTGCAGGTGTCTATGCTTGCCTGTGATATGCTTATTTTGACTGCATACTAAGCAGCCTAGTCTACATCTAAAAAGGTATGCCATGTTTGCAAGTACTGTCTATATGGTGAAGCTATGTAATGTAAAAAGGAGGCTTTGAGATATTAATCCTGATGCTCAGTTTTTACTATAAATAAAATTAATGTATTCAGCCAAAGGCCTGCTCACATTTTGTATACTCTTTGTTAAAACTGGCTTAAAGCAATCCTCAGACCTTCTCACCTAATTTCCTTGCGGTTGTGTCACTGCATGTATCATCCTGTATCTGATCCCATAAATGCTTCAGGGAAGAGAATATGCCATAGTTTATTGAAAAAGCTCTGTAAATATCCAGAATTATATATAATTTCTAATAGTTCTCATCTTCAGTGAGATTTGCTTCTGCTCTGGGGACTTTGAGAAAGCTGTCTGTGCTAAAGGAAGTCCTGCAACATTCTTGAAGTGCTTGTGGACTCTATGTTAGATACTGCGGCACTTCTCGTATGTTACACCGTAGTTGTTTCCCATCCTAGAGAGCAGGAAGTCTCCGATTAATCTGACACAGACCATTTTTATTAGACTTACCTCAAACAACCAAATAAACAATGCTGTGATACCAATGGATCTCATAATAGCTGTGTAGTAATCCAGCAGGGCCTCTCTGCACCCCTTCACCCAGATATTGAGCTCCTCTGTCAGAAAATCGTAGTTGTAGTGAGCACTGTTGTTTGTCAGCTGGTACTGGATACAGGGCCGTGGGGAGCTTGGGTTGCAGCAGCTGAAGGGTACTCCATCCACCAAGAACTTTCCATCAACGTTGCTCTTTAGACGGCTGCAACAGGACAGAAATTTTGGGCATTACAAATCTGCTATCAGCAGCAGATAGCGTCTGTGATTTCTATAAAAGGATATAACGCAAGTCTGCTGCGATGTCGGCCTCTCATGTAACAAAAGGAAAATGGGAATACATTTCCAACTGGAAAAGTTGCTTACTGCAGGAAAACTAAATTTCTCATTTGCTGTATTTCTTAAGTGTGGTATCAGCACAGTATCTCACGTGGTTCTTGGTACTGTGCGTGCAAGATGTGGATTCAGTGTTCGCGGAGGTGTTGCTTTTTTAGGTATCTTTGCGCTGAAAATACTAAAGAATTTCTAAACTTGTTTATCTTGGTGGAACTCTAATGGAAGATATGGCCCTAGAAATCGTGTGTTTCACTACTTTTGGATTGATTTTCAACACAAGCGTTCCTTAAGAGAGAACCTAATACAAGCTTTGCATGCCACAGGAACCACTGGAAATTGTCCACTGGCATTTCACCATTGTACCCATGTGCAATGGCTGGTTCGGCACAAGTTTTGAGACTAATTCACAAGGGAGTTTCTACTTCTTGTGACTATACTTACTGTAACTTTTGAAACTGTTTGTATTTATTGCTAAAAATTATTCCTTTCCCTCCTCTATAAGACCAGGGAAAAAAGCCAGTGGGAAAAGAAGAAAGGTAAAGAAATAGGAGGGAGAAAAAAAATCATGGGATGGAAAGAGAACACAGCCTCAGATAAATCAAGAGTTTCTGAAGCAGTTAAATGAATCCTTGACATCCATTTTCCTTGTATTACCTGCTCTTTAGCTAGTGTGTCCTTGTGAGGACTTCCGTTTCCGAGCAGGCTCTGCAGAGAAATAGATTTTTCCAGAAATTGGAGAGTACATAAGGTGTTGAGAAATGCTCTCTCACTTTGGGGAAGTAGCCTCTAAGCATGTATCTATTTTCATGCTCATTGCAAAAGGATTATTTCCTGAGACAGCCCCACAGATGAGAACCATGGCCTGTTTTAATGAAGCCCATGCCCTTTAGCCTTTGCTAGGGAGCCAGAATACATGAAAGACAACTTTCTCTTAGATATCCAGCTTTCACCATTTGCTAATAGTAGAATCTTTAGTATTTTCCAAAACTTATCCTCATTTATTAATGTTTATAAACCATATTTTCCTGTTCCACTACAGCTGATCTAAACTAAAGGGAAGGAAGTCATCACAAGAAGCTCATCAGGTGTACAGAAGAAGCAGAAACTGTGGTCCAGTGTTCTTCCGGCATTTTGGGACTATATCCTTCAAAGGAAACATAAGCTGCTAGGAAGCTCAGTATTGTGGCTGTGCAGGGATGGCAGAATAATTGCCTTCATTTTATTGCTGTGGGCCTGCTAAATACAACTGCCTTCCTTTTTTTTTGTGTGTGTGTGTGTGTGGTAGTGGTGTGTTTTGTTTTGTTTAGCATTCTGTCAAAAATATCTTCCTCGAAGATCTTTCCAAGTAAGTCAGGAAGTTCATCTGCCATTTCCCACCTAGGAGTGGGTTAGGCATGAATTCCTCTCCATTTTAAAGTCTAGCTCTTCACTTTGTGGCCATCATATTCCTGGTAACGGCAACAGAACGAAACCAATGCAAAAGAACCCAAATAATCCACTGAAACCAGACTTAAGTGTGCAAGCAGTGTAACGGGCATAGGCAAAACCACTCACTGGGAGGGAAACAAGGAAGGGAGCCAGAGAGGTACAAAACGGAAGGCTCGATTGCGGGAGGAGAAAAGAAACCTCACAGAGGGAGGAGGGGAAGGCCGGCACATAGTGAAAGGGAAGCTTTTGCCTGGGCCAGCAAAATGCCCTGTATATTTCAGTGACATGACCCAAATATAGTACAGCATCTAAAACAGTTAAAATACAATCTCTTAAACTAGGTCTTAAGCTTTTCTTTTGATCCCAAGCATCAATTTAATTTTTTTTTTCCTTCCTGCCACATGTTATAAAGAGGAATCTTCTTTCTACTGCCAACAATAGCAGTTTCCAGACTTGGGTTATGTCCCCCTGCCATCGTGTTTCCCCTACTAGTGGCAAATTGAAGAATGATGTATCTTGGCACTGTTAGAAGGGAAGACCTCAGTAACAGCTGAGGGAGTGAGACATTCACTGCTATTTGTTGTTGCAATTCAAAGCTGTTGTGGTATTGTAAAGCAAAACTTGCTTTTGAGACTATAAAAACATTATTTTTACCCAACCAAAGCAATGATAGGATTGTACTGCTGTAACCTGCCTCATCCTCCTACTGTTCCCATTGATTCTCTCAATTTCTTGTCACATGGTGGTGTTGGCAATGGAGATATAGAAGAGGGGGGAGGGAAGAGGGTTATGAAGGAAGGTGTAAAGTTCAGTTTTGCAAAGGTCACATGTGAGTTGACAGTATGTCAGTTCTCAACTGCTTTGCCTCTTAATCTACCAAGTAATAATTGACATACAGTACAAGATGAAACCAAGACAAATATTTGGTTACTTCTCCATCCTTTCTGAACATTACCAGCTGGACCCTGCTTCTAACAATTTCATATCAAATGTTTCACTACCATATTTTTGGAAATCATAGTGTAATTTGGTTATACAGCACCAACTTGGATTCTAGCAATCAAGATGGAATTATCCAACTTATATACAGTAAAAGAAATTCTGCAGTGTAATTACTTCCCTCACACACATTTCACTGGCATCTTCTGCCTACATGGGGCAAAAATTAACTGACAGTGTATTGTCAAAATAATGGCAGAGCACAGGTGATCCTGCAGAAGAAAACAGAGTTTAGCTAAGACCCTGGGTAAAACATTACTGTTTCTGCATGTCTCACAGAAATAAAAGGCAGTATATTTTACTTTTGTCCCCACAATAAGATACTGCTCTTAAGTTCCTGTGGACCATTTTTGTTGTCATGTCACTTTTCAGTGTAGAACCAGGATTTAAAACACCTCTTGGGCCAGTCTGCTTTGTGTCACTGTTGCTATCCAACTTCTCTCTCGAGAACACTTGTTCTAAAGCTTGCTTTATTTCCACAGCCTTATGCGTGCTGACGCCCTCTTGTCCGTATTCGCCTAGGTCCTGTCCTCTGGTATGTTTGCAGCTCTGTATATATGCTTTGCTATAATGGCAGTTTCAAGTTGCAAATTCTGTGAAAATAAGATCTTTGGCCTTCCTTCATCTGGCTTTATTGTCACTGATTTTTGCATGCAGCAAAACAGAACACTTGACAAATGCCAGTCAAGCTTTTTGTGTTTGTCTTTCCCAGGAATATATAGCTACTTCGCCCTCATCAGTGAAGACTTTTTTTTCAGCTTTAGAAGAATTATTACATATTGGATTGTCTACTTTTAAAATTTTTTTATTGTTACCTTTGCTATTGTCTGTAAGAATTACTAGACTCTTCTTTTTGAGCATATAACTTCACAGTTGCTACGTCATGTGAACATCACCACCACTAACAACAAAAAAATTCAAGGGTTTTTCTCCTCCTTTTTTATGCAGTGTATGTGGTGGTGGCAGTTTCTCACATACGAATGTATAGATTTGAACCTGGATTTGCGAAGTCTTGAAGGAGAAAGATCGTTCAGTGTTTAGGATTGACTGTGCAATGTATTGACAGTACAATCCTTTTTTCTTTCCATCATCAGCTCACTATAAGTGAAATTTTGAGGTAGCTAATTCACACATTAAAAAAGGAAACGTACATCTTCGCTTTGCTTAGCACCCCTAAAATGTTAGCAAAAGGCAACTTTGTGCATGTAGTTAGTACATTTTATGAGTAATGTGGTCATTCTACAGTTTTTTGATTGAGACAAAAGTCCAGCAGAAATTAGTATCTACTTGGCCTTGTGAGGTGTATGCTAGAACCCCAGAATGATTAAATATCAAAAGAAGGATGATTTTTGGCTTGAGTACTTCAGTATTTTTGTTTTTTAGAGGGAGCATATGGTCTAGACAAAGTGTTGTTCCCACTGTTATCCACTAAAGGTTACTACATTAGTTAAACTACGAGGGTATTTGTGAACATGCCTATGACCAAAGAAATGTTACGTCTTCTTGAGTTAGACCCATTACCAGAGTTATTTGGAATGACCTTTGAGAGAAGCTTTCTAGCCACAAGATGCTGTTTTAATAAGGAGGAAAAACACTGCCAGAATTTTTGGCTGATGGCAGAGAACAAGCAGTTTTGCCATATTCTCTTTAATCTCAAGATCTTTTGACACTACTGCTACTTACTTTCTGTTCAATACAAATTCTTCTTGAACGAGGCTTTTTCCTAGAATTTTTTTGTTATGACTAGTAAATACTTACTCCAGAACTTCCTTGGAAGCCATATTCAGATAACGAGCAGATACCCACTGAATTTCAAACCAGTCTCTAAAGCCATTGTTTCCACAGCATTGGAATCCAATTTGTAACATATCTACTGTTTTCTTTAAGAAACATCGTCCAGGTATGTCCGTGTCCTTATAGAACTTAATAGCATCCCTCAGTCCCAGATAGAGAGACTCTTCCAGCTCGTTCCTCATGGTATAGCACATGAGAGCACCCACCAGGATGCAGAAGGTAAAACAGAAGGTACATACAATGTATGGGAGCATAACTAGTTTCCATCGAGAGAACTTGTTGGCATCTGAGCAGTCATAGCAGATTTTGCCACCCAGAAAGTTGATGATACACGCTATGACTCCTACAGAGATCAGCATGTTGGGGACAGAGTTAACATCCCCTTTTGCCATTACTTCATTGCGCTTCTTGATCTCTATTTTCAGAAAGAGGCCAAGACTGAAGAGAATGATCCCGCTCACCACAGAAACCCAGTTGAGGATCCATAAGATCTGAGCCAATTTGTCCCTCTTAGTTTTGGTGAATTTTACTTTGAGGACAGCCATAGTCAGATCAGCATTAGGAAGAGAAGCGTAGGTCAAGGAAAGCTCGTAAACTGATTAGGAGCGTGTATCGAAGGCATGCAATAGACATCTGAAGAAGAGAGAGAGAGAGAGATAGAGATTACTGTCTGTTTGACTGGGTATTTATAGAGACTACAGAAAACTGCTGTACAGCCTTACGCACACTGAGACCTGCCAAGGGAGTGCCCCAATGAAATCTATTGCTTAAATTTCATACAATACAAATCGCTTAAGAGAATAATTCTAAGGACCGACTAGAGCAATTAAAAATAAGTGAACGGTAGAACCAATGAACTCTGGATTCCTATGGATTTTTGTCTGGAGAGCAATTTTCTGTGCAGATTTTCTGATATCTAGAAGTGAGCTGATCTGCTGTCTTTCCCTCCAGGAGACTCATGGTGCCCTTCCCTTCTACTTATTGCCCATATTTTCCTGAAGATTCTAGGAATTTATAATTCTTAGATTACTGTGTCATGGTCAGATTTGTGTTCAAAAGTTGCTAAGTAGGACAAACAAGTACATATATACAGCATAATCACATAAGTCTTTTTTCCATATGGAAAAAACATGAAAATAGCACCAGAAACACAGTATCCTATAGGTGGTTTTAGGCATTTCATTGATTATGTGCAGTAGAACATGATTTCGCTAGCAAAAAGCAGTCTTATTCCTACACTTATACTAATAAGATATGATCACTCTGGCAAAAAATGAAGGGGGAACTGACTGTAGTTACCCCCACACAAAAAATGTTCAACCAACAGTTGAACTATCAATGACTGTGTTGGTTTTCTAGAAAATATTATCAACATTTTATTACATTTCAAGTGCTACAACCTGGATATAGTACTGATGAACAAACCATCCTCCACAGTATTTGTCCTGGTTTCAGCTGGAATAGAGTTAATTTCCTTCCTAGTAGCTGGTACAGTGCTGTGTTTTGGATTTAGGAGGAGAACAATGTTGATAACACACCGATGTTTTAGTTGTTGCTAGGGAATGCTTACACTAGTCAAGGACTTTTCAGCTTCCCATGCTCTACCGACTGGGAAGGCTGGAGGGGCACAAGAAGCTGGGAGGGGGCACAGCCAGGACAGCTGACCCAAACTGGCCAAAGGGACATTCCACACCATATGACGTCATGCTCAACATATAAAGCTGGGGGAAGAAAAGGAAGAGGGGGGACATTCGGAGTGATGGTGTTTGTCTTCCCAAGTAACCGTTACGCGTGATGGAGCCCTGCTTTCCTGGAGATGGCTGAACACCTGCCTGCCCATGGGAAGTAGTGAATGAATTCCTTGTTTTGCTTTGCTTGCGTGTGCGGCTTTTGCTTTACCTGTTAAACTGTCTTTATCTCAACCCATGAGTTTTCTCACTTTTACCCTTCCGATTCTCTCCCCCATCCCACAGGGGGGAAGTGAGCAAGCGGCTGTGCGGTGCTTAGTTGCCGGCTGAGGTTAAACCACAACAGTATTTTTCCACTTGGTCTGGCATAAAAGCACTACCATTTTTATGTGAAGTAACATATCACCCTACAAAAAAAGCAGGACATCTTCAAACTTTAAGAAAAAAACCAGCAGTTTAAGATGCTCTATTTCTTTCTCTACCTGATTGTTCTTCCTTCCTTTCTGAAAGTTCTTGTTAAAAAACAGTTTTTGGAATAGCATGATGTATTAGATGAGGCCTATTTAATCCTTAGGGAATCACCGTTACTGTCTTAACTTCTGCTCCTGCAGCTAAAGTTGCTTGTTCTTTCCCTTTGTCCTGAGAACTGTGACAATCGTGCCTTATTCCAACCCTCCTACCACCTGTAGACTGGATTTCTTTCCAAGTCCCCCATATTCCAGTCAGAATCCTAAACTTCATTCCTGGTTGCACTTTCTGCAATAACCTTGACTTCTTCACCACCCATTGGAACTGCTTCCATTCTTCCGTCTGAAGAAGACTCTGCAGCCCCAAGGGACACCACAATATTTTTTTGAAGGGGAGCTATTTGCAAAAAGACAGAAAACTATTCATGTGTTCAGTAATTTATATCTTGTATATTTTTTTAGCTTGTTTTTGATACACCTGCTCTTATGTTATTAACAGTCCTTTAATAACTTTCCCATGTGATCTACAGACTCTTATTTTTCTCTCCAAAGATCACAATGATGGGCATAAAATATATTCAGAGCGACTTCCCTCCTCCCGCCCCCCAGCCCCTGAGTTTAAAATCTGATGTTTCAGAGTTTCACAGCTGAAGGAGGACTTCTGTGTTTCAAGGTCTGTCTTCTTTTCCCCAGCTATTAGTGGATCTAAGAAAAGATACCATCTTTCCCAGCACTTTTAACCTCGCTTCTCCGCAACACTATTACTAACTTCTCCTTTGCACCTCTCCAGTAATATCACAATCACAGGCAGAAAGCAGCTAATAACATCTGAGATCTAAAACCTGTTAGAGCTGGAGACAATGTGTTTTCTGTGTACATGATGTGGATGTAGAACTATGCTGCAGTACCTCAGGATCAAACCATGAACATTTACACTTCTTCAGTGCTCCCGATGCTTTGTGATTGCCTTTCCTCAACACGTGCAAGATATATGGAGCTCTTCTTTCTTTCCTCCCCACAAAACCTGCTCTCAGCATGGTCTTGTACTAATTCAGTAACTTTCATTAGAGTGATTTTATACTACACAGCTCTGTATTTATGTGATTATACAGTCATCTAATTCCACTAATACAATGGCATTTATAAACAGTAAAACATAATCCTGTAAATTTGGGGAAATAGAGAAGTACAAGCAGCTTTATTCACGTGTAATTGTTTTTAAGCTAGTGGGCTCTACTACTTAACTTCATCTGAATACGACTGGTATCAGCTAAAACGGCATGAAAACTACCTGCAGACAAGCTGTAGAGAAGTAGGGCTACACCTACCCACTAAAGGATCCGCAGCTGCAATGAAGCCTAACATTGGGTAAGCAGATTGTTGTAGAGTACAGTTTAAAAAGGTAATGGTATCCCAGCATCTTCATCTGTATATGTCGGAAGGAATCAATTCTATTTGTACAGCCGAGGAATAGGTTGTTCCATTTATATTAGGATATGGTTTAGATATCTTCATGCATTTGAATAGCAAAACATTTTAATGCCTGTGAGATCTAATTCACTCGTGTTGCATTTATTTTCTCCTGCATTTAGAGAGGAAACTAATTCCCCTCAAAACTATTCATCTCTGTGTATCTTTTCTACAATACAGAGAATAGTGTGCTAAATGCACAGTATTTTTCCTTACCGGTCTTGTTTCCAAAGGTGTTGAGGCCAGCAGCTCTCTGACTTTAAAACCAGGGTCCTGATTTTAATGATTGTTAAGGCTGATTATCAGTTATGGTTGAACATTGATTGTGACCATATTGTGATAATCATATCGATTGTCATGATGAAATACTGATTATTGATAGACACCTCTGTACAAACAAGTCCAGAGAACAGTCATTTATAAAATGACAACACTTTCTTCACACCAGTCTTCTACGGTATCCTTCAGACCTCATTTAAAAGGATCATGCTTTGCTGGCACAGAATTAAGCCTCCATACGAATTCAGCTGACAGCCCGTCTGCTAAGCCTGGAGACAGTATCTTTGATTGCTTCACCAGTTAAGCAGTTCATGACTTGAACTTAAATAGCTGTAGATGGCTGCTGCAAATAGGTTTATTTGCCCCCGATACTCAGGTCTCAGAGCTCACAATAAAGAGAATCTGTTGTGAAATTTCCTAGCTGCTGATAAGCAGTTCACGTTCAATTGTCAGTGTATATGAATGCATCACTCACTGTTCATTTCTATGAAATACGTGTACGTATTTGCAAAATGCCTCTAAATTGTTAGGCACACATACAGTTACTGTGTCACTGAGAACACCCTACTTGCCGATCATCTTTTGCTTTAACATTTGAACAAAAGTTGTAAACAGTTCTACCTTTACTTAAAATGCATCTACTCAAGAGGCATTGTTGATTTTGGAAGATGTAAATTTAAGACTTTCTGTCATATTCTAGCCATAAAGAAATTTGGAGCTGAATTCCATAAGCAGGGATACATTCAATCTCGTGTAGCTATTCTGATATAGCTCCCTCCCCCATTTTCAGACGCCTAAAGTTAAAAAAATGAAAAGTTTATGTGCAAAAGCAACTCTCTAGTAAGTCCTTGCCTCCAGTAATTCTCATATGGTATTTCCAGCTTCCTTGGTGCAATTTTAGTATTGTTATAAGACCAGATTTCGCAGAATATTCACATTCATCTAACAGAGGTACCCATGCCACAGTCCTCCAGTGGTATAAGATCTGCTATTTCATATGAGCCATACTGCCAGAGGAAAGGGGGGGAACGACTGGTTGGTGTAGTGCAGTGACCACTCGTTGGCTGACTCTGGCTGTCACTGCTCTACCTGGGATTGCACAAAGGACCTTTGGGACAACTGTGCTTCTCGTGAAACTTTCAGTGCATCAAGTCTAGGACAAAAGAACGACTTACCTACTCAGTTCCTGACAAATTAGTCTATGGGAAACAGTAGGCAGAAGGTCTAGTGTTCCCAGCTTCTACGTGGATATTTCTCTTGAGATTATTTTTTCCTATGCTAACAGTTTACTGAATTTATTTTAGGTAATGAAAAGACCCTCTTCCCATCATAATGAATTTTGTAAATACACCATAA